TGATGCAGCGGGGAAAAGCAGCATTGCTGTCTCAGAGAGGAAGCAGCCCCCTTCCCCTGCAGCGGGCCAGTTCTACCAGTATGGACAATGGCACACGTATGTGACCCAAAGGGGCCGATGAGTTTCAGTTGTCACAGCTCTAGCTGATTTCCCACCCCTTCTAGGCAGGAATACACAGGACCAGATATCTGTCCTGGTGCATCTTTTAGGATATAATTCTTTCTCAAGTTTCTTGCAATTTTGATGTAATGAGTGATTTGATTTGGATGCATGAAAAACTGAGCAATATCTGTAGAGAATGGAGGAAATCCTACCCCTTATCAAGCTTAATCTTGTCAAGCTTAATCACCTTGATTTAAGCACTCACAGGGTTTTAGAAAGAGAGCTGGATGTGCATACTTCAGATTGTTCTCGATACTCCACAGATTAAATCTGTTTAGCAAAAAGGTAGGTATTTTCTATGAAAAAATTTGATTGTTAAAAAAGCAATTTCCATTAAAATTTTGACAAACACAAACATTTCAATTGCCCTCTTATGAAAGTAATGACCAGAGTATGTTACACTGGTTAGTGATAATTCTGTCATCTTATTAGTACTTATGAAATGCTAATCAGGAAAACAAGTAATTAAATAAATCACTTGCTTCAGCACTGCCTAGTGGTAGGTTTTGTTTATTCTGGGAAACGTTATAAGGTAAAGCCCAGTTCACCTAAGAATTTTGGGAGAAGTCCAGTGCTACTTTGATACAAGAAGTGGGTCTTGAGCCCCAGCTCATACCTACTCCTTCCAGCTGGGTACCCATCACTAACTATCATCAGGTGCTTTCTTGCCTGCTTCCTTTCCCATAAGTCCTGCAGTCCTGTCTAAAGTGGGTTCTTTGCTGCTCCGCTTGAGGAGTCTTCAGTGTTTTCATCTCCTACAGTGTGGGACATACTACTCTCCCCTGAAATGGGCTCAGACCTTCTTCATCCTTCTGCCATCCAAATACCCTTCCTCAGTGAGCAGTCTGGCAAGCATGGTGTTATGCAAACAGCGGAGGGCTTTATATCCATCCACAGTAAGGAGGTAAGGCAGCTGTGCACTGAATGATTGCAAGTACACAATATTTCTGGTTGGTTCCCTGTCCTCTGCTGCTAGAATGTCCTACAAATTCAGAAAAGCTGGGATTTTAATTTCCCTGGACTCTTGCTCTTCTATTGTATGGAGTATAAAATCCACTTCTAAGCATTTCAGCTCCTGACGGAAAGGGTGCTTTTGCTGCTCTCAGGGACTCCTGTTATGTTGTAGTTGTACTCCAGCGATCCTGTATCTGTGCTTCAGTTTGTCAAAGCAGTCCCTGAGCATTAGTGGGGTTGAAATCAAACGGTGCTCTTAAAGGTGAAAGGTTGTAATTTAAATTCCAGTTCCTTTGTGGAAGGAGGAAATGATAAAATAGTGATCTGAAAGCATCAAAACAAAGGAAGACTCTGAGCTGGAAAATCTTTTTTCCTTGTCCACCCACCCTTGGCTGATCGTGCAACCAGTGAATCTTCTCCTTGAAGCTAAACACCTCAGATTGTGTGTTGACCTGAGCAAAGCTGCCTGAAAGCATATCATCCAAGGAGGTGACCAATTTTGCTCTGGAACCTCTGAGCAGCCTCTTTGCTGCTTCCCACAGCTTTCCTGTTGAAATCCTGAGGTCAGAGCACTTATCTCGCCTTGCTTACACCTCCATGAAACGTTTGTTTCCCTGCTGAAGTTAAGATGGCTTCACAGGTCAGGCACCATAGCTTCTTTCCAACTCCTTTTTAAGAGGTGATTTAAGTTTGTTCTACTCCAGTGGCCCAGGAAGCCCCTCCAAACTTCAGGGAAGTGGAAAGGCAAGTTTCTAACTTGTAGCATGTATTTAACACCTTTCTAAGCCAGAGCCAGCAGGCATCAGTATTGCAAAAGCACTTCTGCTGTTGGCAGGGCTCATGGTAGCCCCAAGAGACAGCTGGAGCTTGGCACAACCTAGTCAGTGACAAGGAGATGCTGAAGGCCAGCTCTGTGAGCACTTGTCTAGTGCCATTTGCTATGCCATCTCTCTGATCCCAGTGGAGACCCAAGAGCTGCCTGGTACCCCAGTCATGAGCAGCGGGAACTTTTCCTATGGGGACGCTTCTCCTTCTAGCTGGTGTGTACAGAAAGGATAATTATTACTTTTTTTCAAAATCAAAACCCAGAGACGTAGAACCACCTGGTGTGAAACTGTTCTGTCTGTGGAGACAGGGAATTATCTTTTGAATGGAGAATTTACTGACTTGCAGGTGAATTTCACCGGTTAAATAAAGATGTGCAATGGCAAACATGTGGGGATGCTATTCCAGTGATTACTAATAGATGCCTCAAATACTTGTGGCTTGTTAATTAAGAACAAGGAGCAGCAAACTCGTAAAATAGGAGAGAGAATGCCTGACTGTTCAACCCTCTACAAAGTAGCCCGAGATGGCAGTTTTAATTTAGCGCTCCTAAATCCCACAGCATAAAATCTGATTCCAATAACAGGATCCTTGAACAGAAGTTGCCTCCCTCTTCGAATGCTGCTGTTCTGCAGTGCTCTGTGCTGGTGTAGCGCCTCCTCCAACCCTCTCTGCATCTGTTCTTAAACTCGAGACCTCTTTCAGAGCAGCGGTCAAAGCAGGAGCTACAAGGGGGGAAGCAGCGTGGGTTTACAAGTGAAGGAAAGCATAAGTGACTGGTCCTGCTACAGGCAAGGCTGACTGCCTTGGTGCTGGGAGATAATGTCACCCTTATCATCGAGGCACCCTGTGATGGATGAGGGAAATAAAATATTTTATGGTTCACTTTTTTTTATTGCCATAGGATATGTCAAAATGCTTCAATATTGAAGACGTTCAATGGCCTTTCACGCTTAAAGGTGCCTTGTTTTTTTTTTTGTTTGTTTGTTTCAATATCCCTTCTCGTGGGGGGCACGTAGGGTGATAACATTTAAAGAGGAGAAAAGGCTCACTGAATTATTGAATGAAGTGTGAAGCCTGTTTCCCTCCGAGTCCAGGCTAATATTAAATTTTAACCTGCCATGTAGCGATGAGAGATTTCTTTTGTCTGTTTCCAGGAAGATTTTGAGGAAAAAAATGTCTTGTGAACAGTGTCAGTTTATGCTCTTAAAACTTCAGACTTCCTCTACAGTGGATGTGAAAGCTGACAGCTCAAGTCAGGTGTGCAAGATCTGTGTGAAATGACTGGGCAGTTTTTCAGTCAACTGTTGCTGTTTGTCATCCAAAGAACTGGACATATGTGGTAACTGTCAACTAAATAAGAAAAGATTGTGAAAACTAGGGCAGAATGAGTCTTCCTGTCAGTTCTTCCTATCTTGGAGCTAGGGTATGAGGGGGTGTAATTTAAGTTGAAACTGAATTTGGCTTCTGTCTTACTACCTCCCAAAAGATATGGTGGAGTTTGCTCCCTTCTTTCTGCTCTTTCAACTTCACAGTGTTTTCCCTTGAGCAGTGCCCTGAGGTGAGAACATAGGCTGCCCTCGGTGAGGTTTAGAAGTTGACTTAGGAGGATAACAAGTGTTTTCTCAGTAGGAGGAGTTAGATACCTGAAAGAGATGAGGTGAAATTCAGATCTGATCCTGTGAAACTCTGTCAGAAACGCCATAATCTCAGGCAGAATACTCACTGGACTTCTTGGCACCCTATGAGCGAACATTTCTCCTTTCTTTGACAAATGATATTTTATAAAAGCACTGCAACAGAGATGAAGGAATGTTATGTTTGTTTTGCTGGAGAGATGATTCTTATAGAAGTAATTAAGCTGAGGCCGTGGATATGTGCGTAGACTGTTGTACCTGCTCCTGAATTCCAAAAAGTGCTGTAAAATGATGTGCTTCTACACACAGGCCTCTCTAGGTTTCTCCCAATTTGAATCCAATGATAGTGCTTTGGCTTCTTGGGAATGCTGGACCAGTGCTCCTGACCAGAGACAAAGTCGTGTGTGCGTAAAAGCAGGCAGGACTGCAGTCCAAAGGAGGAGCTTTTTTTAATGCAAATGCCTTTCCATTTGAAACTCCGTCCCAGAAGGCTGCTTTGCTTGCATGAACCACCCCCATGCCTTATTGCTGATTATATTTCTAAGTGTATGTTTCTTTACACAGATTTTGTATGTATTTTATTTCTCATGATTTTAAAAAGCCATGAAGATACCTTGTGAGTGCCTCACTGCCTAGGAAGAAAGTGAACGGGAAGTGAATTGTTAACATTAGGGTGTTGCTTGCTATTTGGATGCCTGAACACATCATACCTTAAGGAATGGATTTGAATTTGCAGGTGCTGATCTCTAGCCAGGGCAGAAAAGGGTGAGATTGCTGCAAGCACGTCCTATAGACAGAGCTTGCAAGGAACTGAGAAATATATTGTTGAGAACTATGTTGTTGAGAACAGTCCTGCAATGGCATGAGGTGAGCTGTAATGCTTAGGAGAAGCTCTCTTCACTAGTTGCTTCAACTACAAGAGCGGTCCTGGTCCAGACCCTTAATTACTCTGATCAGCTGGTCTACTTGCAAGCGAGCTGGCAGCTGCCTGGGACATATGGGCAGTGAAGCCATCTGCATTTGTCTCCTGTTCTGTTTCCTAGTGGTCTTTACAAATAGCAGTGAATTATGAGCATGTGCCAGCTTAATGGGCTCTCATTCTTCTGCCTTCACATTGAGAGCAGAGTGACTCTGCCATCAGGCAGTTCAAGGAGACCTGCAGTAGGTCAAGCCATTGTGGCCTAATGCAAACATATCTTTTTCTGACTGCTCATGTTGGAGGAATGGCATATTTCCTTATCTACATATGTAAGGAGAGGCATTTCAGTACAATTCACTAGAAAAGATCTGTGGCTGAAGGTTTCTTTGGTGGTGCTTCTGAATGTTTCTGTCATCAGACCAGATCTGCCTTTCATTAACGGATAACTAAATCAAACAAAACCTCCCAGACTTTTAAGAGGCTGCTACAAACTGCACTGAGGTCACATCAGTCTGCAAAGTTGACTTTGTAACCAACAGTCTTACAGTAAGCTGATAAGGAAGGGTTTTTTTGTTGACTTCAAGGCATACAGGTATCAAGACTAAGTGTGCTGATATATATATATATTTTTATTTAAAAGGTTCAATTCATCTCTATCGTGTACTTAACATTTTTAAGGCTATTAATACACTTCAGACACTCATTGGCTGGAAATTTGTTAACAGATGAGAATTTTATCTATGTTCAGAGAAGGAATTAAGCTAAGAGAGAATTATATAGAATCTGTTTTCTAATTGGGCATCGCTGGAGCCAGGAACTCCAGGTAAGGAAAAAGTTCTAATACCTGTTGTCTTCTTGGTTCATTGGCAAGGTAGTTGGTTTCTCTGCATTTAGTTACACCAGTCTTTTGGTGTGGATTATACTTAAAAAAATCTTGCTTAGAGAGGCTTGTTCATTTGTAAAATATTGTGTAAAAAGCAATCTGAGTTCCACATTAGAGCTGGGCAAGGACTTGTGCAGTTTGCTGACTAAAGTTTTTTTTGACCTGATTTAAAAAAAAAAAAAGAACCTTTGCTTTTTCTCAGTGATGGTTTTGGGTTTTTGAGGCTAGAACTATAGCCTGGCAAAACAAAATCATTGTGTTCTACCATAACAGTCTATCAAATCGCCTGTTTATTTGCTCTCAGGTTGAGGAAAATAACTTTTGCCTTTTTCAATGAATAAATGGTTTGTCTGGAAGACATTGTTCAAGTTTACCAAGAATTATTCCTTCTCAAAGACTATCTATAACCTTCATCTTCATGAAATAAAGTTTGACTAGAGGATCAAGGACGATTCTGAATAGCGATGGTCTATGGTTTAGACCAGATAGTCAAAACTAAGAATAACAGCAACAAGTGGCTGAAAAAAGGATCCCCTGCAACAATGTGCTTATGCAAAGGGTGATTTTAGGCATATAGCTAAGATGTAATAGATTAGGCCTGGCCAATCTTAAGTTTCTGTGCTTATTTTGTATGTTGTTTAGAAGAAACTGGCTCATGCTTTTATTCTCATTCCTAGAAAATATTTTTGGCTATACCATTAGAAAAATATGGGCAACAGCAAATCTCTGTCACATATTCAAAAGGTTTTATAAACAATTTGTTAAACTGAAATAACGTGCAGTCGCGATTAGTACTTTGGACAAATTAGTGGCAAAAATAGCCATTGTGATTTCTACGACTGGTCCTTGAAGTATTAACTAAATTGTTGATGCATCTCATGCATTGTTGCCACTTTCCAGGTACATGGGTAAGTGACTTTGTATTGTGAGTCAGACTTACAGACTTTCAGCATCAAAACAAATATATTACTGTGACCTGGGCACAACTGTGAATGCTCCAGTTATGTGTGCTTTTGTGTTACCCGTCCATTTGCTGTAGATGAACACGTTCAGTATAGACAAGGCTATTTTAATTCACTTCATCCTGCTGGGCCTGGTGATTGAGAGCAGCCAGGGGTGCTACTGTGAACACTATCCTTGGGGTCCATGGTCCAGCTGTTCACAAACCTGCAATTATGGAACACAGACAAGGCACAGGTAGGGCCAAATTACTTCTCTATTTTTATTTTGATGTTTCTAATTGTCTTCTGAAAACATATCTGAAAATATCTGGGGAGGAGCAGTTGTCTCTGAAGCTCCTGCTTCCATAACATACTGAAAAATAAAAATTGCCATATCCAAGTGTTTACCAGGTGAATAATTTTTTTTAATTGTAAGATTTACACATTTTCAAGGTTAGGTATATAGTGCATTACAAATGAACCTGCAAATGAACTTATTTCTTCCAACACGCCTAGTGAGGAGAGAACAGCTTTGTCCTAAATTGGCTTTGCCAGCCATGTGCACTTGAGCACCCAGCCCATGTGAGCAAATGGTGGTAGGGGGGCATAGGAGGGCTCAGAGCCCCATTCTGGGAGGTCTGCCCCATGTATAGCAATGTTATGGGAGGTGTAAGCTATGGCATGGCAAGCCCACACAAAGCTCCTCCCTGTAGGATTAATTTTCAACAACAATTAAAGTCAACTGAATGTTCAGCGTCACCAAACTAGATGCAATTCACTGGCATATTCTAAATTGGCTAGAATTCCCCTCTTTCCGTCTTGGCTCTCTTTCCAAAGCCATCCCTTGGGACATTCAAAGTGAGATGGATCAAAATCAAGTTTTTTGATCCATAAACTTTTGATACATTTGGATTTTTCTTTCAGTCAACATTTCACAGCTGCCTGTTATCACTCTAAGGATTTTTTTGATTGGGTTCAAATCATTATCTTTAGCCTTCACCCACAGTTAGAGAATATCTGTCTACAGTCTGTCTATGTTCCCTTTCTAGTGTAACTTTTTCAATTAATTTTTTTAGGCAAATAAGAATGGATGAATATTATATGCAAAACTTCTGTGACCAGCTATGCACAAAGCAGGAGTCTCGTGCATGTAACCAGCAAGCATGTCCTATCAACTGTCAGCTTGGAGACTTTGGCCCTTGGTCAGAATGTGACCCGTGTGTTAAAAAACAAGTAGGTAGAAAACTTATTATATGGATGCAATAAATGATACTAAAGAGTTGCCTTCATTTCAGACATTTAACTTTATGGAAACTGAGCTGCAAAATGACAGTTTAAATTAACAAGGGAAATTGGTTATAAATTATCATAACAGTAGGAGCTGGAGGGAACGTTAAAATAAGGAGATCACAACAGAAAGGGGCAATTTAGTAGTGCTAACCCATTTATGAGAACTTGAAAAGTGCCACTGTTGTCATTATAAATGAGTTTCCACATAGAGGATAAATTAAGCCATAGAGTTTGGATGTCTGTTTAAGTAAGAGAAAGTCACGGAATCTTTATGACTAATCCACAGCATTTTTATACTTTCTAAAGACAAGAAAAGTAATAGGATCAAATCATCCATTGAAAAGAGTTAAATGGTAAGTCCTAATTGGCACTGGCTGGGAGTGCTCAGGCTGCATTTTACACTGATACTCAGGAACAGTTTGAGAGTGCTGTCAAGAAATCCAGAACGCTGTTTCCCAACCCTTTGTAGCTTACACAGAAGCCACGTGGATGTGCTTAATATTTGTAGAACAAAACCCTTTGGGGATCCATTCTCCAGATGGTGTTTTCTGCTCTTAGGCTTGTGTCTATTGACTGGCAGTAGAGCTAGGAGTTAGTTGTAGGACTGCTGGAACGCTTCCAGTGTGCAAGGTCTTTGCCACCTGGATACCCTCTCTGGCAGAGAGGGGAGAGGTGAAAGAGCAGGTAAAGTCAGTTTGACCTAACAAAATGGGGACCTGACAGATATGAGGTTACAGGTTAGTGAAGTGCAGGTTGTTAATAGTCGTTACCTGGCTGGTGGGTCTCAGCTTGGGCCTGACCATGAGATCAACTCCCAGTGTCTGTGCAGACACAGCCTACAGTTCTCCCTCTGAAGGTCCCATGCAGCTTCAGAAATCCAGGCCTGACTACCTGTTAGGTGTCATAAGTATATCCTTAGACTTTTGATAGACTTATTTCTGATTCTGCCTGTGCAAGATGAGACCAGCCCAGTGTAGAAGTCCATGAAGAAACTGTTAGCTCTAGGCATGAGATATGCTAACTGTCCTGTGGGATCCTATCCTGCAGCTGGGATAGAGAGCATGAGAGCAGAGCAGAGAAAGACAGCAGGAGACAGCAAACAAGCTACAAGAGTTGAAAGGGGACATTGCTCTCAATTGAACTGGATTCTGTGTGCTTAACAGGCTCTTGTTCAAGTGTCAGTTTTCTTACTTAGGCATTGATATATAAAACATTGTTCCATTTTTTAAATTGATTTTAAATACTGATGCAGCATGTCTGTTGTTTCAAGCAGAAAAGTGCTTTTGTAGGCTGAGCTCCATTTTCCCTTCAAACTCTTCCTTATGATCCTTATAAAAACTAACAGCCATCAGAACAGAGGACATGAAGGGTGTGACTTCCAAGATGAATGTGAAGATCACTATAAGCAAGCTCCTAATAAGTGGGAGGGGATGAGCAGATTGAAGCTCCGCATAAACAATGAAGTAACTGTATTAAGGGGCCCAAATGGAGTACAAGGAAATGTTATCTTGAGTTCAAAAGTTCAGATGATCTTGTGTTGCTCCTCTGCACCCACACTTAATAGTTACCTAGTTACACTGGTTTTAGTAGAGGTCCTCCTGCGTTGTTTCACTTGGGGTCTACAGTGAAGGAAGTCTACAAGGAAACAGTTATCATACGGGGAAAAATCTTAGAGAAGGAGCAGCTCAGCTGTATGAAGATGTTTTTCACCCTACCTCAAGGGCTTACCAGTGAAATCTACCTGAAGTGATTTGTCTAGCAGCCTGCAGCTTCATTACTCTGTGTGGCGGGTTCCGAGACGGGGAGGAAAAAAAACAAAAGTGAGTTCCAGGTTTTGCTCCCAGATCTTTAGAGACAGAATTTTTCAGGAGAACTGTTTTCATCTTGTGCAGTCACCTAGTGCTCCTCAAATGAGGGGCCCCTGTAAGTGGGAGCCAGTGAAACAATGGGAGCCAGGCCAGCTGATTTAGGAATGGGAATATGCTATTGTCATAGTACTTTTGTTTCAGCAGTGACGATGAAGAAAAATTTTAGGTAGGCTATTCACATACCGTTTCCTACTCTACCCTTTAAACTGAAGAGACAGAGACTGTATTTTCGCTTCTTCATGTGATACAGCCCAGGCCATCAAAAGTTTAATTACATATACTCCATCAGGGCCACTGAGGCTCTTGGATTTCAGTTCCCTGCCTGCCTTACCTGAGGTGATGGCATGACAGGACCTAAGGACGAGAATAACTGATGACTTCCTTCAGGGTTCTGGCTCCAAAAGTCTTTAGCAGCACTGCAGCATGTGGCTCTGCCTGAGGGGCCACCAAGGTGCCTTAGCTACAAAATACACACAAATAACTCTGTTTTCATTTCCTCTTCCTCTCAGTTTCGTGTTCGGTCGCTCCTTCGCCCATCACAGTTTGGGGGTCAGGCCTGTACTGAGCAACTGGTGGATTCCCGCCCATGCTTCCCAACTAAACTCTGCAACATAGTGGAAGTTGACTGCAAAAAAAAATTCCAGTGTGAAAGTGGTAATGAGACTCTTCATTACATAATCGTGAAACTATTAGATAGTCAAAAGATTAAAGATATCGTTTGTTTATTTGAGGCTCAGGTGATCTGGAGCTTGTATATCTCATGTACAAGTTTGAGGGAAAGGGGCAGGGAGAAAGTTTACTGGACTAGAGATTCAGTCTGTCTGAGTTCAAACTTGGACTGTTTTTATTAAATTTGTAAGCCTTCTTGTGGGAATTTATTTTTTGCTTCAATTTAAATATAGCTGATTAAACAAAAAACAGCCTCATCCACATGTCTTTTTGCTAAACCTTAAATTAAGCCACTATAGCTCCCAAGAAAGGCAAATAAGTAGAGCTGAAACAACTGTTTCTTGCTAGAAAAATCAAGGCCTGTTTTGCCTTACTGTTGGTTCCTCAGAAAAACTCACACCTTTACTAGGGAAAGTGGAAAACTTGTGCTTTTCAAAAATATCAGTTTTTACAGTATAATTTATTTTTACTTTTTTCCTCTTTTTCCTTCTTCTCCATTCAGACTTAATGACTTTTTGCATAAAGCTTCTCGCTGCTTTATTTGCAGGTCGTTGTATTGCAAAAGAACTGGAATGCAATGGGGAAAATGACTGTGGGGACAACTCAGATGAAAGAAACTGTGGGAAGAAAAAGTCACCGTGTAACAGAAAGTATGACAGCATCCCAAGTGTGCATTTAATAGGCAGTGGGTAAGGCAGTTTTGTTTGCTTGTCTCATAGACATGATGAAATCTTATCTCACTAACTTGCATAAATAAGATAAAACCCATATTAGCATGTGAAAGTATCCCATTAAAACAGATAATCTCTCAAATTAGAATTAACAAGAGATTATAAGAATGCAATTAATCAATCAGGCTAGAATTTGCCCACTCCGTTTTCCAGGCTTAGGCTCCCTTCTGTGCTGATTGCTGTACTAGAGACAATAGAAAGAGCTGTCAGAGAGCACTGCTGTCTGAAGGACCTGGACTGCCCTCACAGCACCTGGTATATCACTTATCAGCAATTTCTGGTTTGGTTATGTCAAAGCATTTCAGAAGCTTGGAGGATGTTCGTCTAAAGATGCCTGATTATGCACGATCTATGAATTTTTTCACATCTTAATACCCACCACCATCTCTTCCAGACTGCTGATTTAAGCAGTGTAGACCCACATGGTCTTGCATTTTTGAATGATTTCAGTGCGCTCTAATAACATCATCCATGATATGAATGGAGAACCACTCGTTTTCCCAGGCCATTTTTCATCATCTCTCTGCTTTTGAATAAGAATGACTAGAGAAGTCTTCTGCTGGCATTGTCCGTAATTATCTAGAGGACAGCGATGGAAAGTAGGAAACAGGTTTGCTGCTACAGCTTGGACATGTTATTTTCTTGAGCAAGTTAAATATGAATAAGGAGTTCTTGTAGAGAAGCTTTTTTCAAAGCAGTAATATGCTTTGAAAAAAGCATATCCTTTGTTGGTTTAAACCTGCAGTATCTTCAGTGCAGCTATATACCACTGAAATGATCCAAGTCTATATATCTTTCTGGGATCTTTTAATCTCTGGATATTATTTTTCTGTTAGATTTCACATTCTGGCTGGAGAGAGTCGAGGGGAAGTCCTTGGCAACTCATTCAATGGAGGACGATGTACAACAGTGAAGCACAATGAGACAAAGAAATTGTATCGTGTTCCTGCAAACTTGGAGGCTGTCAGCTTTCAGGTACTCTCAAGCACTTTCAATTCTTAGTTGAAAACCCCCTTTCATAATCAGTCCAAGTTACGTGCACAAGTTTTAAGCGGTGATGTGTGTTTTAGGACTGGACTTCTCAACTTGGTGAGGTTTTTTTAGCATGAATTTAAAAGGAGTAACTGAATAAAGTTAAAGCCCTGAATAAAGGGCACACTAATGTGTTCTCTGGAAACTGTAACTGGTTTGTTTGTAACATGTAGATTTGGTCCATGAGATTCAAAAATTGCTATGCTCAGAAATATTTAATAGAAGAAACACTGGTCTGCCAAAGTCTCTCCAAAGCTGTGTGATTTAAGTTCTTGATGTTAGTCCGCAGAAAAGTTAATGGTTTGTGTCTCAGATACTTCTAGGAGTTCATCTCTGTCTTTTAACGTATAAAGTCATCTTCTCTGGTATTTCTCTGGGGGCAAACTGCCTGAATTCAGTCACTTCTGAGTTGATGCTAAAGTTGTCTGGGTGCCCCTGCTGTGCAGGACAGCGCCACTGAGGCTTACCACGGCTATCGGACTAGAGGGTCACTCCCTCTTTTTCTCCACCTATCCCTAGTCCGTCATGCAATATGGGTTCTCACCCTAGTCCGTCATGCAATATGGGTTCTCATGCTGCAAGTATGGTCTAAGACTCCAGTCGGGATCAAACCTATTCATCCTGTTAGAAGGGGAACCAAGAAGAAAGGACAGAAAACACCAAGCTCTATGCTGTGGGACTGCGACTCACACCTAGTGTAGTTAACAAAGGTAGTTGTGACATAGACTGAAGGTCTGGAAATCTTTGAAAAGTATGTTTGAAAAATTACTCCTAAGCTTCAGGTGGCAAAACTTCAGAAGGAAGTAATAGACGTTTATTCTCTTTTTTTCCCCTCTTATATAACTGCATATTAGTAAGTCGTCTCATATCTCTTTCATCTACTAACTTGTCTCACAAACTCATCTTTTGTTATAAGAGTGGTTTCTTAGCTTACTGCTATGTCGCAAATGTTCAGGCACGATTCTTTTAAGCAATGAATTCTTGAATTTTTTTCCTAATAGGTTGCTCTGTTCTGGATTATTATTTGGGCAAACACAGTTTCCTTTACTGAATTTCCAGGTAGTAGATGAAGAGGATGACGTAGCATCAGATTTCTACAATGATTTGACTCCTCTGAGTGACAGTGATGCTGGAAGTAGTTCATCCACTCATGCTGGCAAAAGAACTTCTGGGATCCCGTTTTTATTCTCAAAAAAGAGACGGATACAAGTCACATTAACTTCCTCCTTTAAGAAAGCCATTGAAGCCTCATATGAAAAGGTAATTAAATGTTACCTCCAATTTCTTCCTTTCATTTTCCATCTGCTCATCTTGGAGAACTGAGCTACTGATACTGAAGATCAAGCCAGGAAAAAGAAAAAAAAAAAAAACCTAAATTACCTGGTTTGTGATTAAAGAAAGTTGGTGCTCCATTACAACACAGTTGTCAAACAGTATTACTGCTGTGTCCTATGTTTTCTGTCAGGAAATAAAGATATTTTTTCGGGTGTGCTGTGACCCTTACAATTCGTTCATGGGTGGAGTTGCATTTTACAAAATCACAGGAATTACCCATAAGGAAGTTCCTCTCCTGATACCACAGCATGTTCCTGCTTGTGACATACCTTCTATAGTGTAACCTACTTTTCTGATTTATTGCAGAAATCATAGGATTATCACACTTAAAGTTTAGATTTGACATGGATTTGAGGTTTTCAAATCAGATAAATCAGTCCTTTCCCAGTCTCCGTTATAGGTTAAGAAGATAGAATGCTGTGGAAGGAACAGTGGCAAACAACTCCTAAAATGAAGTCCACTCAAGAATGTGTTATAGATGTGTATGTATTGGGAATTAAACCACATGAACTTTTCATTGGCTAAGCAACTTTCACCTTGTAATATTGGAGTCACGCAGCTGCCAAGTTGTGATCGATCACAAAGATAATCTCAGAAGTAACACATTCAGAGAAAAGTTTCTGAGAACGGAAAGCCTTTTTCCCCATGAGATTCTAGTGCAGATGAATTAAAAGATAATATATTAGAGATTCATGTATTTCTAGAGTTTAATGGCAGTAAAGGATCAGTTGTTTGGTCTGCGTTTCTGCATAGCAGAAGCCATAGGACTAACCAAAACTAAGGCCTGCTTGAAACCCAGGACTTACAGTAAAATTGGAAAGCATCTTTTACAAAAATGTCACTCCTAATTTTAAGGATTCCTATGACAGAGGCTTTACTCCAAGCCTTGGTAACTTGTCCTGGTGGTTAAGTAATTTGACTTAAATAGTTCATTATTTCTAGTCTGAATTAATCTATGGTAAACTTCTAGCCATTGGAAAGCTATTTAATCTGATTCCTGTGAAGATACTTACATGTAGATCAAGTTGTTCTCTTGTGGAACTGGGAAATCATTTTTGGAAGAATGGTGGCTTCTTGTTTGCTTAAACGCAACCCAAAACTTCATATGGAAATGAACGCACTGTAACTAGCCATTAACTTAGTAGTCTGGCTATAGGTGACCCAGGGTAAAATCCCTCCGTGGGAAACTTCTTGTCTAGGTACATCCTTGTCTCCAAGCCCATTTGGCTTAGAAGATGCAGCTAGAGTAGAGCCAGACTCCTGGCAGGAAAAGTTCGGTAGAGGAGCTTACGTATGAATCGGTACCAAAAGCCTTTTCATGATGAATCGTTCCCCTCTGCAGATGGGTTGTTCGTGCCAGTTTCCTCTCCCTCCCTTTGCTCTTGGTCTCTTTGCTTTGATCTTGTTCGTCTTGTCTCTTTGCCACTCTTCAAATCTCTTCATTCAGTGCTCTCTGTTCCTCTCCTCCTTATTTAAACTCACACATTAACAGCCTCTAGCATCATAAAAATGAATTGACTGTCTCAAAAGCATGAGACTTCTAAATGTAAGATGTTTCTGAACCTTGCTACTTTTTTTATGTCCTTCCTGAAACCTTGCCTGTTAAAAACCTGACACTTAAGCTGAATGAGAACTTTATCCATGCAGTTTTAGTTTTAGCATACTGATAAGTAAGTTATGAGACTCGATGACAGTGAACTAGTATCCAGACTCCCAACTTAGTGGGCTGTTTATAACTAGTCCTATATTTGAGGATTATGATTACATGCTGAACCCTTTCATCCTGGTCTTTTGTCTTATTGCTGGTATATTTCTTATGTCAGGAATTGTTTTGCTTTCTGTTTTTCTGGTGCTTATGGAGACTTAATTTTTGTTGGAATCCTATGCACTCCCACAGTGCAATGGAGCATTATCCTACAGAAACTAACAGGGCTCTTGTAAACTTAAGGGCTGATTTTTGCTAGTTTACTCATGGTTAAAGCAGTGTGATACACAGAGTCAATTGGTTTTTGCAAGATAGCTCAGATCATGCTCTCAGCCCCTCTACTTTGTGCAATTAACCACCTATGAAAGCACTCACTCCTTTATTTTTTTTTCCAGAGTTCCAACTTTATTAGAGTCCATAAAGTGATTTCTGTTGCAAACTTCACAATGAAGCAGTCACATCTGCAACTCTCAGACATCTTTCTAAAAGCACTTAATCACTTGCCCCTGGAGTACAACTATGCTTTATACAGCAGAATATTTGATGACTTCGGTACTCATTATTACACCTCAGGGAAGATGGGTGGTTCCTATGACATTCTTTACCAGTACAGCTCAGATGAGCTGAAAAACTCAGGTATGTTACCTTCAGCAAGAAGTCACGATTCACTTACCAGCTTTTCCTTTGCTTTAGTTAAGATAAAAGTACTGTCACTTTTCAGGCCTTACGCTGTGCAGTAAATTCTCCAAATCAACATCAAAAAAATCCTTTAAACTTAGAGGAATAGCCCACACTGCCTAAAAACAGAGTAAGAGGAAATTTTTGTTCTAGACTGTTTTACTTTCAAAAGTCCAAGGGGATCCCAACTTGGTCAACATTAGAGTATTGGAGGATTATGGTCCTGGTGTTAGTCCCTGTGAGATGTATTACAACCTTGGTAGAGGAACAAGTATGTCCAGACCTGTTGTTTGTGTCCTGCTGCCCAGGAAGGGTAGCACAGCCCTGGGATTTTGGGGTGGGGGCTGCCTGGGGGGTGGCTCAGGAGAGCTAGAAAGAGCAACTGGTTGGGGGGGCAGGACAGAGCTGAGAGACTAGGGAAAGTGCCGGGGAGGGGGAGTGAACTTCATCCAGTGGGAAATATTTAGAGACAACTCTTAAGATTTCCAGATCAAGACCAGGTGCCACCTGGCAAAGATATTCCAGTCAAACACATGCCATGGTAGGACTGAAGCCTGATGAGAAGTTGAAGTGGTACCTTCTGGGGTACAATCCTTGAGTCTGTTGGTATGGTTAAAAATGACTCAGACTCTAATGACAGCCAGATTATCAAAATGAAAAAGAACACTACCAAAGTGGAAATCTGAGGTTAAAAGCAGTGATTTTTAATGCTATCACTGTAACTTATGTGGGAGGGTACCTGAAGGAGCTGGTAAGCATGACCCTGTCTAATGTTATTTGCACTGGAGGAACTGGAAGCCTGCGGCAGTGAAGTCTCCCCCTAGACCAGTTGCTGGCCAATGATCTTGAGTGCTGCAGGAATGATTATCTGACCTAAAAACTGCTATAAAATATATCTACACATTTTTATATAAGTGTATGTGTGTATACATACATATACACAGCATTAGTATATAAATATATCATATTAGTATTTTTCTGTGTGTATACATATATTTAAAAAAAGCGGATGTATTAAAATCTATCTTTAGCACCCTAGGAGGAGCAGTCTCTCTCCAAGCCCCTGGCTGCAAGGAGTGGCACAGTCTGCTATTCCCACCGCTGCTGACCTCTGCAGCTCACTGCCCCAGACAAGCGTGATTAGACTGAAGGATAAGAGCTGTTTCATGGGGTGCTGGTGGCGGAAGAGGGTGTTAGACACCAATGGAGAAGTGGCATGGGAGTAATACCCACCCCAGCAGG